TTTAATATACTGTATATAAAAAAAAAAAACCATAGCAGCACAAACGACAACTTCAAGTGCACAAACCTGCTCAAACAAAGCACTAACCACTCAGAATATTTGCAATCTTTTTTTCTGTGGTTCATTTTTTGGGAGGGGTCAGCTTCACTCAGCTGTTCAAGGATTTCTCAAACATGAATAGACCTTGTTAATCAGCTATGAATTGAACTCTGTTTTTGTTTTTCTGAACTGTCTCTTTAATTCATTGCTCAAGGGCGGATTTAAAACAACTACTGATTTAAAACAACTACTTCAGAATTTAAGTTCAGCTCAAATCTCAACAAAATGGCCAACTGCAAGTCAYTTTTTGGACTCAACAAGCTGAAGTTTTATCTATCCACCTATCTCACTTGGGTCACAGCAACACGGTGTTTTTGTTCCTTAAAGTGACTCCACCTAAGATAAGTTTGGACCAGGGACTTCCAGGAACTTTTTGCTATTCCCCACGTGTCACGTTGTATCCCTCGCCTCATCCTTCAATGGCAGCATATAATTGTTCCGCTGGTGGCAGGCTTTAATTATTCACATGATGCCAAGGCTCAGGCGATGGCAGCTATCACCTCATCCATCACTAAGAACTATTGCACTGCCAATCTACAAACGCACTGGTCGACCAGTTGTGTGGCGGCTCCTGTGTGTGTGTGACATACATGATAAACATCKCGGCAGCAAACTGCTGATGCTGGTCTTCATTATTTTCAGATGGGCCGGAGATTAACAGAGAGAAGAGGAGAGGAGAGAGATCCTCTGGTTTATAGACTGCAGTGTGTTTCACACCGAGAGAGAAAAGACTTCTGTTTGTAGCTTCAAACGGAAACACAAAACCGTCTGTCACTTCCTATCTTTCTTTCTTAATCTCTTGCTTTCTTGATACTTTTCAAACACTGCATCTTTGTTCAAACGTACTTCTATTCTTCTGCGCTTTTTATCAACTGCTTCTGAATACTTTGTGTTATTTTGGCCGTTCAGATAAATCCTTCAGCTCAATCAGGGGACGGGTGCTGTGACTTTTGGATTTTGTAACTTTGATACTTTTCAAATTATTTTTCTTTATTTACAGAAATGTTCCTCATTAAAATACACAATTTTTTAAATTCCTTCAAAAACATTGGGCCTCATGCAGGAACATGTTCGTACGCACACATTTGTTCTTAAGTTGTGCGTACGAGTGATTTAGGAGAATT